TATACAAAATGTAATTTTTTTTATTTCATTTGTCAGAAAGTTTGATGACGACTCTAATCTAGAAAAAATAATAATAATAATAAATGGATGTATTACAACTGAACAGCATTTATATTAGATGTGCCTTAAAGTTATTATTCAACAACATAAATATAGACATATACGATTTTTATTTGATCAATTTTTTAAGGATGACATATAAGCCTTAAAAAGGTAAAAAGCTAAGTTTGTGTTTTTCTGTTTTATACGGCAATAAAAAGTTGTATTTACCCTTAATTTGAGTAGGTAAACAAGATTATTTATAACTTGAAATAGGATAATTGGAGGTTATGCACTTGAAATAAGACAATGATTTTTTTATTTATATATTAAAAGCAAATTGTCTGATTCTATTGGGTTTCACTCAAATAACCTGGATCCAGTTTTTTTTTTTTTATTAAATAAAGCAGTGGAGGAAATAAAATAAAATGGAGCTCAGGAGCAGATCGTTCCTCCCAGACAGCGACTGTTCGACTTTATAACCATTACTGCTTTAAACAGACAGGTTTACATGGGTTTACAAACATGCTGTTAGTGGCAGAGGGGCATAGTAACTAATCACATTTATTAATTCCACCTTTTTTTTATAAAAAGCATAAGAATAGTTTTACTATATTGTACTTTTTTAATATAAAATATCACAAATCTTACCTCAGTAAAATATCTGGCTACTGTACCTATTGTGAGTTATTTCAATAACTGAAAACATTTTTGTTTTTGTCTTACTGTAACTATTAATTTTGTAAGTTTTATGAATAATATAATGTATTATAAAGTGTTTAGTCCATCTAGAATTATTATTGTTTAATTAATGTATGTAATATATGTAGTATATATTGAATCTCATACTTGAAATAGCAGTATTTGTATATAACTTTACATTTTGTTAAACTTTACATAATTTTTTTAAATATTAAACCAGTTGTTATGATCAGATCAGTTACTCAATACTTGAGCCGCCTTTTTAAAAAAATACTTTTTTACTTCTTACTTTTTTAATTCTTGGATGACTACTTTTTTTTTTACTGGATTAAAGATAAGAAAAAGTAGTTCTAGTCTTACTGCAGTTCAGTTTATTAGTACTCTACTCACTTCCAGTTAGTTGCAATGATTTAACTTTTTTTTTAAATCAAAATAAAGGGATAAATGAATATAAAGGGATAAATAAAGGGATTTTCTAATTTTCTATACTAAAAATGTTTTTAAAAACATCATAGCCTTTATTTTCCCAGTCTTATTTGCTGCATAAGTGTTCTACATGCAGTACTTTGCACATATTTTGCCAAAGATCTTATTTCGTTTATGTCTTCATCTCCTTCGGTCTACTTGAACCCTAATCGGCCTCGACAGATGGCTGCTTAAACTGAGCCTGGTTCTGCTGGAAATTTCTTCTTGTTAAAAGAGAGTTTTTCCTCTCCACTATCGCTACATGCATGCTTACATTAAGGGATTGCCTTCGAGTAAAATAGTCCTCACAATCAGCTTGTTTTCCTTACATAGAAATATTTAGAAGTACACGATTGTGTGACGTGTCTCTCCAGGTTGAAGTGTATATAAGTATTGAAGTGTATATCCCAGTAGTTCACTCTGTTAGCGTACAAAGTTTCTCTGAAACCATATTTCCACATCCTCTTGGTGTATTATTATTATTTTAATGCTTTGTTTTTGGTTAAGCTATTTAGTGAAGTGTAATTCTGATTGGAACAGCACTGAGGATACAGTATAAACGTTTGTGTTTACTGAAGAAGAAGCTAAAGCTGCTGAGCAAACATCCTAACTAAGACTGATGAACTAGTGATAGTGATTCTCAGGGTCGGCTTTGCTGACAGGTGACAAACGCAGCTTCCTGAGGCACCATCTGCTGGACAGGGTGAAAAATTGAAAAATAAAAAAGAAGAGAAAGAATGAAATGCATGTACTGTACGGAAGAGGATTAGGGCCACTGACAAAATAGAAAAAATAATTTTAAATATTATTTCAGTTTAAAATGGGGAAAAAAGTCAGAATTCTGACTAAATTCTGACAGCCAACAAACATCGGAGCCTTGTCTAGAGACTAAACTAGCTCTCTTGTTTTAATCACCTTCCGCTCTTCCATTAATGAAATAGCATCACCAGGGACCCCTAGGGCACATAAAAAGTCACCTAAATTCGTCATTTTTCACCAATGTGTTACCGACCCTCCCAAATAACTCATATCTTTGTCAGTGAAGCTGAGTGCTCCCACATCTTTTCCTTTGGGTGCCCATCTACATTAAGATCCCAAATTCTGAGATCAAAGTCAGCATTCTTAGAAAAAAGTCAGAATTCTAGATTAAAGTCCGAATTTTGAGAAAAAAGTCAGAATTTTGAGTTGAAATTCAGAATTCTGTGAAAAAAGTCTGAATTCTGAGATTAAAGTCAGAATTGTGAGATGAAATTTTAAATTCTGAGAAAAAAGCCTGAATTCTGAGATCAAAGTGAGAACTCTGAGGAAAAAAAGTAAAAATTCTGAGATTAAATTCAGAATTCTGAGGAAAAAGTCAGAATTCCAAGATTAAAGTCAGCATATTGAACTGAAATAACATTTTTTTATTCTTTCAGTGGCCCTAATCCTCTCCCGTAGTATTGTGCTGTTAGGAAGTCCAGGAAATATTTCACAATCTTTTCCAACTTGGTCCAGACCTAAATTGAAAGCTTAATAGGAGAGATTGTGTAAGATTACATTGATGGCACATTGTGTTATAATGTTTATAATTATAACGTTGACCAAAAATGGAAAGTAAAAAATGTCTTTATAATGACAATTTGACATTTTATGCTGGTCTTGATTTTGTCCTTCACCCCAATGACATTTGCAAAATGTTTGACTATTTTAATAAGTTAATTTGATCTGTTAATTCTCCCTGACAACAGAGGTTATGTGAGATGGTGTTTATGTAGCTCAGACAGGAGCAGCAGGAAATCAGGAGGAGCTGAGGCCTCTGGAGCAAAGGAAGCATAGCGGGTTTGGAGGAGCTCCCCATGGAAACGGCTCAGAGCGCGTAGAGAAGGTAGCAGCTTTCCAGAGCTAACGCAGGAAGAGAGCAGAGAAGCACAGCGGCAGATTCAGAAAGACCCACTTTCTGAATCTGAGCTCCAGGGTTAGAGCTCCTCTAACCCTACACCTAACCCTACCCATCAAAGTTAGGGGGCGGTTATCTAACACCTGATTGGTCACCCTGCACATTAAGGCGAAGCAAATCGATTACAGAGACTCGATTCGCGTTAACCCCGCCACCTAACTTTGATGGGGGAGTTTGACAGATTCTTTTAATGGTTTCGATGCACTGCGACACAGGACCATGAAATAATTAAATGCACACTGAAATAATTATATATATATATATATATATATATTTTTTTTTTTTTATAAAATGAAGATGTAATTTATTAAATTAATGACACATTTATATATTTAATTCCTTATTTATTTAATGAATTCCACATTTAATTAATTGTTTATCGCTGTATTTATTTATTTATATTCCACTTTATATTAGGGATGTGGTTTTAATTAATGAATGACACATTTATTTATTTAATTCCACATTTAATTAATTATTGACACATTTAATTATTTATTTAATGCTGTATTTATTTATTTAATTTTGGCACTTTTTATCCTCCATAGATTCTAGGGGATCATGAAGCCCTAACTTTTGTGGATTCAGCTCCAAGGTGTGTGGGTAGTGGGTGACGGCTAGTGGTTGAAAGTAGGGGATGCATTTGGATTGGGCCTGAATTGCTCTCTGAGTAAAGCCAAAAACGATTTGAAACAGCAAATAAATAAAAACAATAAGTGGAAAAGGAGTATTTTATGTATTACAAAGACAGCTGTTTATATTTAGATTAATGAATGTATTTTTAAATTGCCATTAAAAATGCGATTTGAAAATACATTTTCAAATTGTAGCGTTTAATAATGGGTTCATTAACACAAGCTGTTTTTTCCAATTTAATCTAAATTGTGTAATAGCATCATGCTTTTTAAATGGAAAATCTAAAAGGAAAAGTTAAATGTTAAATCTAAAATTATTCTATTTCTTTTTGACTGACTCTTCTGGTCCTCCATACTTTCAATCTTCTTTCCTTGGCTTCTCATCGAAATTTATAATCCTATTTAAGTTTCTCCGGATTGCATTAAGAGCCTTGGGTTTTTAGCAGGCTCTCTAAATGAAGGAAATAGCAGTCAGGATTACCAAGTAGAAGTGCAAAATAAGAATGTGGGCATGTTTGCGTTCCTTATAAGTGTTGCTGTTTTTCTTTAATAAGATGCAATTTGTAGCTGACTAACTACACAGCTTTCCCAGAGCTGTACATCCAGAATGTACACACTGACTCATGCATGCTCAGCATGCTCTAACGCCACATACAAAACACAGGTTTCCACGCAGCGTACTGCAGAAAAAACAGACTAGATTCTCCAAACCACGATAGATTCAGATGACAATGCAGCAATGTCTGAAAAATAACTGTCCATTCAGCACCTCAGATGTCTCTTTGGGGAGTTAAACTCAGCAGAAATTAATTCTTTAATGAGATTTGCTTTGGCACCAAGGGAAGATTCTGTGTGAAAAATGTTTGCAGCGAGGTACGACGTCCACTAAGCCAAATTAAGGACTGTTAGAGTGGATTGCTGTGTTTGATCCTATTATGATAAATCATAACTAAATGTCTCCTCTTCATGGCAGAGAGGTTTAAAACAGAGATCAAACATCTTTTGCAAAAAAAGTCCTGCTGCCTGCTTGGAGTCTTGCAGATTGAGGATGATTTAAAAAGTATTGCACAATAATGACTCCTGCCTTTAAGCCCAAAACTTTGCACTGATCTGACAATGTATAGCTACAATTTGCAATGACTTAAAATTAATCGTTCAAAATCAACGCAGGATGTTGAGATATGAATGTACAGGAAACAAATGAGGGATAAAATGTAGCTTACTTTGACATCCGCCTTCTTGTTGAGGAGACTCTTGGCTGCTGCAGAGAGGCAGAACGACACACCCTCAGATGGAAGAGTACACATCATAAACATATGTGTGACCACAACTTCTAAAGTTTGCTCACAAAGATGCACATGCAGTTATCCATGCATGCACAGCAAAAAAAAAGGAGAAAAAAACTTGCTTAAAAGCAAGATTAAAATACAACAAATAAGTGTTAAAAAAAAGAAAAAAAATCCTCTTGTTAAAAAAAAATAAAAAAAACACCCAAAAACTTACTCAAACAACACATAGAAAATATATCCGTCCGACTGGCTCCTCCTAACCCTGATTTGCTGTTCAGAGCATTAGATAAGCAGTGGGCATCATCCATGAGGGGGAAAAAAAGTCTAATTCTCTATATAATCCTAACGCAGTCATACACAGCTGCACACACAGCAGCAGCTACTCGGGAGGATTAGGAATGGAGCTATGGAGGAAGTGGAATAGAGCTGCAGGTAAAGGATAATGGGTTGTTAAGCACTAGAGTAGGCTGGAGTTCATCGATGGGTGCAGGAGGATTTGAAGGCATATAAACACAGTAGGAAGCCAGAGAGCATTGCTCCGGTGCTGAAAGGCTTTTTCTGTAATAATAACAATGACAGAGAGACTAACAGGGCTGATGTTAATCCCTCATCAGAGTGACACCGAAGCTCTGTGCGCAGCTAGCATCCAACACGGCAACTTTTTACCCCTTTACGTTTAAAGCTTGACATTTAAATCCTGCATTTGGAAAACTCTTCATGCATTTGCCTCCCAGTTCTATGGAGTGACTTTTGTTTCATTATTGTTGAAAGCAAAGAAGACATCTTCTAAATAAAAAATTGTAAAGCAAACATATTTAGTAAATTGAGATTTAAAAAAAAAAGCGCTGATTGCTGTTTTCTCTAGTTTTTTTCCTCAAATGTAATTATTAAAATAGTTTTTTTTAATTGTATTTTAAATCCTTTTTTTTTCATACTTTATATATTTTTTTTTTATGTTACATTTTTCATTATTTTTTTATGTTCACATTCTTTCTATTCTTCTTTTCCAGATTTCATTCTCTTCACTTCTGATGGTGGGCTTTCCTCTGGATTGAGGAACAAAGACACGTTTCTATTGGTCTCCTTGACATTAGTAACAATGATTTTCATTGGTCAATCTGTGTGTCAAGAGCAAAATTAGTATTTACCTTGAAGTAAAGAGAATGTGATCTGAGAAATGCAGTTTTAAAGCTACAGTGTGTAATTTTCAGCGACATCTAGCGGTCAGACTACAGACCGCAGCAACATGAACATCTCCCCCCCACCGCTTCTCCCCCCCAACAGTACGGCGAGCGTTACGGGACAAAATGTCTTCCACGACGTCCGCATCACCTACCTTCTCAAGTGATGAGGTTTGTTTACATAGATAATTTTACAGATAGTATTTCATTAGTCTGTGTAGGGTATAGATTTCATGTAGACTTTAGATAATAAATATACCCGTTATTTTTTCTACATCGTTGTGACGTTTTGGTGAGCTGCTTTGCATGGTGATATAAACAGACAAAGTAATTGTAGTCATTAGTTTAACAGCGAGGTTGTGTTCGCTGGAAGAATATATATTCCCCGTTTACAGAGTCCAAGTCTTGTTTGTGGCACGGGGGTTACAAGGCGAGGAAGAGGGAGAGGAAGAGGGCGAAGGCAGGGAGGCCGTGCAGCTGGGGCCAGGCGAGGGAGGGGTGCCAGCGGGGTTACTAGAGCAGAGGAGGAAAGGCTTGAAGATCTCCAAAGGAGCCGGAGAGAAGTAACCGAGGTATATATATCCAGAAAATTATTTTACAGAAAATTACTGAATCATTACCTGTGAAACGTCAGGGACGTTGCTGAATAAGTATACTGGAGAGGAACAGCATCATCACGCAGCATGTTATTGTTTTAGACAGGTCTGAGCATCCTGTACTCCAAAAACTGCAGTGATATTAGACAATTGTGTGTGTAGGATTAATTACCTGTCCAAGAGAAAACTGGCAACTTGAGCGTCACTTTGAAAACCTTTTTCCTCCATCAGTGACTTCCATCGTGTAAATGCCGTGCCAATGTTGATCCGTGTTTTTTGTCGTTTCTTGTCACTCTTGCGTTTATTCTCGTCGTGTTTCCGCTTCTTAGATGACGGGGGTTCGGTGTCCGCCGCTTTTCGTTGTGATACAGAGTAGGCATGATCCTCCATTCGTCTGATGTTTGGCCACACAGTGCCAAACAGTTTGCAAAGTCACTCACGCCTGCCGCCTTGTTCACCTTTCTTGTTACTAAGGCGCAGTATACCTGCTTCTTCTTCTTCTTTGGTTTCAGGCAGACTAAACGCTTCTCAGGCATAATACTGCCATCTACTCTTCAGTACCGTCTCAGTTCATCTCTCTCAACTTGCTGTAGTTATTTTCGAGCGTCATGGGAGATCTCGCAATCGCTAGTTTGTTGCCTCTGCGCTGCCGTAGCGCAAAGATGTCTGCCTCCATGGCTGCGAGACCCGCTCCTATGTATTTATAAATAACGAATTATAAGGCAACGCAAATATTATGGTTAAAAGGCTGAGCTCATAGGTGATGATAAATAACATAGTTATGTATAATATATTAAATTTCTGACTTTATATGCCTGTAATTATTACACACTGTAGCTTTAAATAATTCAGTTCGTGAAACTAAATATGAAAAGCTGAATTTTGACCAAAAAACCCCCGAAAATATATAATAAAAAAATATATATGAAAAAATAAAGTGGAGAAAAAATTATTGAAAAAAACAAATCGGACAAATTTAAAACCTTTTTTAATATATATATATAAAACATTTCTAAGTTTATATCAAGATTGGATATTTTCCAAATTTCCATTTACAAAAAGGTTTCTGTGCTTGCAACAATAATGGAACAACATGTCACTCCATATATTCCTAGCATAATTGAAAAGAGATGAATAATCAATACACTCATCTTGAAGATGAGTGAGGAAGCTGCTTACCTTGGCAAGTATTTAAGATGCATTAGGAGAAAGATTTATAGAGAGATTAAAACAAGCCAAGAGAGGGTGAAGGTTATATTTGAACTGAGTGAGATCTGAGAGAGTGTCAAGTGATTTTACAGCCTTAAAGGAATAGTACACCCAAAACATGATTAGCCTTCATTTTCTACTCACCCCCATGCTGAACAACACTCTGGAGTACTTTTTTGATATCTCAAATGCATCTGGAGATCTGGGAGGCTTCTTGCTGTCTGCTGACATTCAAATAATGGAGGTCTATGGCGCCCGAGGCAGAAAGGTCCATAAAAGTCCACAAAAAATGTGTCAATATTCCTCCATACTGCTCGTCCAATGTATTCCAAGTGTCCTGAGTGGGTAGCGTCCATAATTTACTTGAAACTAAGTCATTTAGAATGTTTTTAGAGCATAAACAGTAGTGTATAGGATTTCCTAAAAGCGCGTTCACGAGTCTACGGAAACCGCGGCAGACCAACCCAGACGAAAGTGCGCATTCAGCTCAGCAAAGAACTCATGCTCTTCCTCAACACTGAAGTCCTCAGACATTTTTCTTTCGTTGTTTCTTTCTTTGCACAGGTAAACAGCACATTTCTTCTTCTACGCTTGCATTATCGGCAGAGCAGACGCTGAATGCGCACTTTCATCTGGTTTGGTCTGCCGGCTTCCGTAGCGTCCTGAACGCGCTTTCAGGAAGTCCTATACACTACTGTTTATGCTCTAAAAACATTCTAAATGACTTTGTTTCCAGTAAATTCTGGATGCTACCCACTCAGGACACTTGGAATACATTGGACGAGCAGTATGGAGGAATATTGACACGTTTTTTGTGGACTTTTATGGATCTTTCTGTCTCGGGCGCCATAGACCTCCATTATTTGAATGTCAGCAGACAGCAAGAAGCCTCCCAGATCTCCAGATGCATTTGAGATATCAAAAAAGTACTCCAGAGTGTTGTTCAGCATGGGGGTGAGTAGAAAATGAAGGCTAATCATGTTTTGGGTGTACTATTCCTTTAAGGAAGGGATGGAGAGGAGGGTTAAAATGTTCACATCTGAGGTGGATTCACCTTGTTCCACGATTCCGGCGGTTGTTCCTCCCACCCCGCTGACAGCAGCCGGGGCCGTGGTCTGTCGACCCACTGAAACACAGCAGAGAGAGAGAATACAAAATTTTTACATGGAAAAAACACAGACTTTGATTTATTTTACAGCTGCTTTTTGTATCTCTGCTTCTTTCTGTATCTCTGCTTCTGTCTCCTTGAACCCCAGTCGGCCCCAGCAGATGGCCGCTCACACTGAGCCTGGTTCTGCTGGAGGTTCCTTCCTGTTAAAAGGGAGTTTTTCCTCTCCACTGTCGCTACAAGCATGCTTAGTGTGAGGGATTGTATTTGAGTCAACGAGTCGATGCAATCAGCTGGTTTTCCTTAGATAGAAAACTTTAAATCAATTTGACTGGATGATCTGGTGAAGTGTAAAGTGACTTGATATGACGTGTGTTGTGAATTGGCGCTATATAAATAAACTGAATTGAAAAAACTGAATTGCACTTTGTGTCAAAACCCCAACATAGTTTAATATGTTTAATATAAGTGGCTAAAAGTTACACAGTGCTGCTTTAAATAAAGATATAAAAAAAACTCTGGAGGAGCTGCAGGATTCTACAGCTCAATTTGGGAAATCTAAACGATAAAGGCTCAATAAATCCTGCTTTACAGCGTCAACTGCTTAAAGACCCCATAATATGGCATATTTGAAAATAAAAATATTAACTACTTTCAACTGTTTGTGATAGAAAATTCCTCTCAGATTGACAACATTTACCAAAAAAGCTCTCCTCTGGATGAGTCGTTTTGGTTTTCCACACCCCGTCTTCCCAAAGGCCGTCCCCACAACCCGTAACCATAACAACCAGTCAAAGTTTGTAAAGATAGCTTAGGAGCGCGGAATGATACATTGGATAA